AGGGATGAGCTAAAAAATACTTAGAGATCAGCTAGAAAATATTTAGGGATGAGCTAGAAAATATTAGGAAGGAGCTAGAAAATATTTAGGGATGAGCTAGAAAATATTAGAGATGAGCTAGAAAATATTTAGGGACGAGCTAGAAAATATTAGGGATGAGCTAGAGAATATTAGGAATAAGCTAAAAAATATTAGGGATGTGGTAGAAATAATTAGGGATGGACTAGAAAATGTTAGAGATGAGCTAGAAAATATTTAATGTGAACTAGAAAATATTAGAAATGAGCTTAAAAATATTTAGGGATGAGCTAAAAAATTCTAGGGATGAGCTAGAAAATATTTTGGGACGAGCTAGAAAATAATAGGAATGAGCTAGAAAATATTAAGGGTGAGCTAAAAAATATTAAGTGTGAGCTAGAGAATATTAGATATCAGCTACAAAATATTAGGGACTAGCTAGAAAATATTAGGGATGAGCTTAAAAAAAATATTAGGGATGAGCTAGAAAATATTAGAGATGAGCTAGAAAATATTAGGGATGAGCTAAAAATAATTAGATATGAGGTAGAAAATATTATGGATGAGCTAGAGAATTATTAGGTACGAGCTAGAAAATATTAGAGATGAGGAAAACAATATTAGGGACGAGCTAGAAAATATTAGCTATGAGTTAGAAATAATAAGGAATCGTCTAGAAAATATTAGGGATTCGCTAGAAATAATTACGGATGGACTTGAACATATTAGAGATGAGCTGAAAAATATTAGGTATGAGCTAAAAAATATTAGGGATGAGCAAAATAATATTAAGGACGAGCTAGAGAATATTAGGGATGAGTTAGAAATAATTAGGGACAGACTTGAAAATATTAGAGATGAGCTAAAAGAAATATTTAGGAATGAGCTAGAAAATATATAGGGATGAGCTAGAAAATATTTAGGGATGAGCTAGAAAATATTAAGGATTCGCTAGAAATAATTAGAGATGGGCTAGAAAATATTAGAGATGAGATAGAAAATATTAGAGATGAGCTAGAAAATATTTAGGGATGAGCTAGAAAAAAACAAGGGATGAGCTAGAAAATATTAGGGATGGACTAGAAAATATTAGAGATGAGCTAAAAAATATTAGGAATGAGCTAGAGAATATTAGGGGTGAGCTAGAGAATATTAGAGATCAGCTACAAAATATTAGGGACTAGCTAGAAAATATTAAGGATGAGCTAGAAATAATTAGGAATTAGCTACAAAAATATTAGGTGTTCGCTAGAAAATTCTAGGGATGAGCTAAAAAATATTTAGGGACGATCTAGAAAATATTAGGAATGAGCTAGAAAATATTATGGGTGAGCTAGACAATGTTAGGGA